TCTAATTTGGTGGGTCCCGCCTGCTGGTTATACCATCCCCTATTTGGTGGGGCCCGTCTGCTGGTTATCTCATCCCATTTGGTGGTGCTCGTTTGCGGTGTGGGCGGCCCGTTTGGTGGGGTCCGTTTGGTGGGGCCCGTTTGGTGGGGCCCGTTTGGTGGGGCCCATTTGGTGGGGCCCGTTTGGGTGGGCCCCCTTTGGTGGGGCCCGTTTGGTGGGGCCCGTTTGGGTTGGTGGGGCCCGTTTGGTTTGGTGGGGCCCGTTTGGGTGGGGCCCGTTTGGGTGGGGCCCGTTCGGTGGGGCCCGTTTGCGGTGTGGGCGGCCCGTTTGGTGGGGCCCGTCTTCTTCGATCACTTTCATGATGTACACCGTGATATTATACATTCACTTTGACACACAACGAAAAAATGCATCATCCACACCGTGACATCATGCATCCAGTTAGACTTACTTTGACACACAACGTTGAGGCAAACACACAAAAAATAAATGAAAATCCATTGGCAATATGAAACAACACGATCATCCAACGGGAGAGTAAAATGAGTACAACTGCTAAATGATACAAAAAATATGTCATATGGGAGTCAGATCCCCGGATGCACAAAAGTCTTGTCGAACAACTCCTCTCATGTATCATAAATCCCACCCACCAAACAAAGTGAAATAGTTGTCACTGCTGTACACATGTCTCACAAAAGCGGAGATATAAAAGCCCTGCCGCAAAGAACTGAAGAACTAAAGTACATGTGACGAACTAAGAAAAAAACTGCTCCTGCCATGACTCCTATCCACCTACATTAAAAACTAGATACTCTCCATATGTACAGAAGTCATCCTGTGGGATAAAAAAAAAAAAAACAGTTGTCACTAGTGTACACATGTCTCGCAAAACCGAAGATACAAAAACCCTACCACAAGTGACTGCAAAGCTAAAGTATGTATGAGCAACTAAGAAAACGACTATCGACCACCCGCCAAACGACGGGAAACTGTTGTCACTAGTGTACAGATGTGTCACAAAAGCGAAGATATAAAAAACCTAGCCACGAAGAACTACAAAACTAAAGTACATGTGAATCGCGTCTAAGAAAACGAATACGAAGCACCCTCCGAAAATATAGGAAATATCCAAATCAAAACCACAGTATATATATCTACCGCCCCCTGCCTCTGCCGCCTCGTCGTCGTCCACGTGTTGGCGGTGTCATGCGTGTCTATTCTGCGACCAATCTCTCTCTCTCTCTCTCTCCCTGCGCCTAACAACGTCGATCGACTCCTCCTCTGTGTCAACATCCGAAATGCACGCCGCCGTCATCCTCCTGCGCTCCCTGTCAAGCTCCTCATGCGACTCCCTCAATCTCGCCTCCTCCCTAGCAATACGAGTCTCCAACTCGTTAATGCGGCTGTGATGTCGCTCTCCATGAGGCGCCGGCACTCCGTCCTCTCCGGAAGTGTACAACGCAGGCGCAGCCCTGCGTGAACCTAAAAGCATGTCCTTGCGAGCGCCGTATCCAGTCTGCTTGAGAATACGATAAGCAGTCGCCAAACTCGGTGTCGGTCTCTGCTCCTCCCTCAACCGCGCCTGGTGCGCCGCGAAATCACCCCTCACTCTCTCGTCAACTCGTCGCACTATGCTCCACGGATGGTGAAATGACTGCTGTGTGTCGAGGCGAGGTGACGACGACGTCGACACGTGGCCTCTCCCGGCAGCTCTACCCGTGACTGGTGTCGGAGAGTTGTGGGGCATGGTCGGTGGAGGAGGTGTGAGTGAAGTGGTGCAAGCCCTGTGTGCACCCCAAGCCGCTCCCATGATGAACTCCGAACGATGCTGCTCACGCTCCAAGCTCGCCGGAGAGCCAGAATACCGAGGGTCGAGTGCACTCTGCAACGCATCAGGGTCGAGTGGCCCCGATGTAATCTCCCCCTCCTCCATATCTGCTCTGGCGTGGTCGTGAAGGTCAGGTGGTATACCGCCCTCCTCCTCCTCATCGGCACTGCCTCCTCCCTCGACATGCTCCGACGGAGCGTCGTGCGCCACCGGTGAAGGCTCCGACAACACTAACGCCAAAGACATACTGCCTCCGACCTCCTTCGGATCATCAGCCTGCAGGTCCATGTCGTCACCCCCAATGGGGCCGTGTGACAATGGACCTGGACCGGCACTAGGCGATGGTGAAAGTCGTCCCGCATTATCCGCCCCATCATCGGCCTCCGCACCGGGTTCATGGCCTCCGTCCCCATGCTCATCAGAATCGCCCTCCATACGAACTGCGGCAACTGCCTCCTCAGTCCGTACATCATCGGGCTGCAACGTGTCCGCCGCACGAAATCCAAGTACGACGTTGGACACAGCAGGATCTCCATGCTCTGGCACTGTCGGATCACCGTGCTCCTCAGTCTGTGCAGGGTCAGCTGCGAATGGATGCGGGGCTGTGGGATCGCGATGCTCCACCCCGCCTGGATCAGCAGCACCGGTCTCCAAGTCCCGAGCACGCTGCTGCTCCGCCACGTACGCGGCTCTACCCGCCCACTCTCTCTGCAACACCTCCAGTCGCTGCTCCTCCTCTCGATCCAAGCGGGCATGGAGCTCCTCTGTCAACTCCGATACACCAGCCTCCGTAGGACAATACTCGATGTCATCCCCCACCCTCTCTCCCCTGTGGCCCCGTCCTGGAAGACCGGTGTCAGAAAATCCGTGTCCGAGTCCAGGAAAGTCACTCATGCATAGGTCCGTCTGCTCCCTATCCCCTGGAGGTGCCGGGGCGGGTGTGTGCTGGCTCGGCATATGCTCATCGGCTGTAATGTCATCCAGGTGGTCGGACACCTCGCGTCTGGCGCCCGTGGATGAGTCGGCCAGCATCTGCAACCACACTGATCTCCTAAGACCCTCGGTGGCGGACGGAGCTCTGTCGCTCGCCATGCGTGCTCTGTGAAAGACCAATGGCTCGTCGTCGTCGTCGTCGTCGACGTCGTTGTCCGTGCAGGCCGCCCTCGCGCTCTCCCTCTCTCTCTCAGCAGTGGGCTGAGCAGGTAGTGCAGCACCTGCCCTGCCTAAGGTACGTCCTCCCTTGCCGTGCGTGGCCCCTCCACTAGGCCCGCCTGTAGCACCTCCATTCGTGCCGCGTGCAGCACGTCCCGTCGGCCCGCCAATACCACCCCCACTAGCGGGAAAGGAATCGTCGTCGCTCTCCTGAATGACGGTGCAGTGTGGTTGAAAACCATCCGGTCCTGCACCGTACGCGTAGTAGAGTCTCTCGGCACTCTTATCTACATTGGGCTGCAAATCCTTTAAGTTCGACTCCTGCTCTGACGTCTGCGCCGACTCTGATGGCGGTGGGGGCACATAGTCGTAAGGATGAAGTGTCTCGGCTCTGGGACCGAAAACCTCACCAACTCTCTCCGGGCGACGAGAACCCTGCTGCTGGAATCGACGGACCTGTGCACTAACCTCGTGTGCGGACACTGCCGACTGAGGTCGGGCTCCCCACTCCTCTGGCTCAGGCTCCTCCTCCTCATCCCTGTCGTCGATCGGGGCATGTGTGTACTCGTCAGGGCGCGCCTCAGCCAGGGTCGCCATGTGGCGCCGCGGAAGAACGTAACCCCCGCTGTGGTCGCTGCATCCAAGAAGTTTGAGATTAGTAGCAATCTCAACTAACTGCGCGACCTTCCTGAACTTGAGCTTGTTGAGCTTGGTCGCGTGGATGCGCTCATGCTCTGCCCAATTCCTCTCAGCAGGAGAGGCGGACGTCCACATGTGCATCACACAGCCTGCGATTTCCTGCAAGTCCGGGAAGCATGTGTAGTGCTCCACCCACCATGACGCGCACCTGCTCGTCTCCTCGTCCCCTGCACAGGCCTCCGCCTCGGCGTCCCTTGTCACCCTGTCCGTCATGTGGCCGACCCTAGAGTGGAAGGATCATATCTGCTCACGCACCCGCAAGTATGCATCCCCCGCCGCATCACCGCCTGTCTGCGCCAAGAAAAACGAGTCGCACTCGGTAACGACCTCGAGGTCTGCAGCTGTCCTGAGGGCGGACTCGTAGTAATGGAGGGAGCGCCTGCGGGGGTTGAGCAGGTGCGCCGCAGTGTGCGCTGGCTCAAGCATATGCATGGTGTGGATCTACACCGCCTCCACGCACGGCCTCCGCATGTCATCAGGGACGTCAACAGCAGCCACCTGTCGCACCAACTCCTGCGACCATGAGTAAATCATGGACATGATCATGCCACCCCTGTCCAATCTCCTAAACAGTTGGTGGACAGGGGTCATGACAGAGACAGCATGCTGAACGTTGCACCAGAAATCGGAGCACCGGATGACCTGCCGAACCCAGAGAGCCTGTCTACGCTTCAACGACTCCCATGGGATCTTGTCCCACTCGGCGTCATGAAGCATGTTGTCCAAGGCATTACGCCTGGCGAGCAAACACACAAACATAAAAAAAACGAACGCGAATCACGTCTCCACAGGGTGCACAAGCGTGCGGTGACGACTCTTCACCCTAAAAAGGTGATAATCCGCGCCGTGCGATTTAATGAATCGCACCAACGCTCGAGCTCTAACAATGGTCTCCGTAACCCAAGGAACCCCTGTGTCGATGTCAGACAACATCAAGTTGGCCACGTGGGTGGCACAGGGGAGCCAAGTGATACGGCGGATCTCCGGATCAGGGTCCTTTGCAAGGAGCTTTGCGGTGGACGTATAGTTCGACGCAGAGTCCGTGCAAATGGCCAACACGTCCTTCGGAGGGAAAGACCGAAAAATGGCCTTCCATCTCCTCAGGACGATCCATGCCGTCTCGGCCACTGAACCGTCTCGCTGGACGGTAGCGTACAACAGGGCGCTGCGCTTGGCGGCCGCAAGGAAGTTGACGATAGGCCTCGCATCTCGCGATTGCCTACCGTCCGACAAAATGGTGGCCCCCACCGACTCGAACGAACCGCGGACCTCCCTCAACATCGCGGCAACCTTCCCCCGCTGGTCATCGATACCACCGCCCCCAATGTCCTTGAAGGACGGATAGATAGGCTGCACTCCGCGAGGCATAGAGGCCAATGCCTTCTTGTGCCTATACCATGACTGTCTCTTGAAAGCAGCAAAGGGTATACCGCTATCGTAGGCCCACTGCAAAAAGGTGTCCCTGAATGCGGCTTGGCCATCTGGATCGTACACCTCATCCAGAGTGGACTGTTGTTGTCTCTTGCGCGCCTCCGGCACGCCCTCAACTCCACTGCCCACCGGCCTCTTCCCTGCTGCGCCCATTGCGTCCCCCTCATAATGGTGAGCGCCAGTCCTCCCTCGCGCAGTCATGACCACCTCCTCCCCCGCCAAATCCAGTGTTGCGCCTGTCCCTCCACCCTCCCTAGCCTCTGCTCGCCTGGCCTCCTCGTCCAGGAACTCCTATACCTCATCCACAGGATCGCGCTCCTGTGGTTGCGACTGTGACGCACCCGTCCTCCTCCTACCACCGCCTCGTTGGATGTCCACAACTCGTCTATCCGTGATATCGTGCTCCCTCATGTAAGCCACGATACCGCGGTGATGTCACTGATCGAACTCGTAATCCGTGTGGTTCCAAATGTCAACAAAGACGTCAATCATCGCCGCCATGCACCTCTTCAACTGCGTGAAGTGGCGCTGTGCCTTGAACAAATTCCCCTGCCAGACATGCTTGGAATAATTGCAGCGCAGCTTATAATCCCCATGCCTTTTCGCCCATGTTCCCAACCTCTGACCCTGCGTCATATGACGCCACACTCTCGACTTCCTGCGCAACTCGTCCATCTACACATCGGTCGTAGGAACGAAGTCAGTGGCCCCCGAACCGCCGGCACCACCCGTCATTTTGGACGTCGACGTCCGTAAACCCCCTTCGCAAACCCCTTCCCCCCCCCCCATGAAACTAGACCCCCGACGCAGGCGCTGAAACCGCCCCCCGAGACGCGACAAGTCCCAAGCATGGAGCCGGCCCCACGTGGCACCACACCGCGGCCAAGTCCTCCTCCGCGCGGACGAATTCAACAACGCGCGGCCACGGACGCTTCCATGGATGTGTCCGCGCGGACGTCGATGCCGCCTGGTACAGGTGCCGCGGTCGCCGCCGATCGCTCTCGTCGTCGAACACGCCCGTGCGCCGGATGCGCCCACCGGCACCTGAAACAAAACAGCGAAAAAAAATTTCCAATAAATAAATCAACCAATCAATCAATCAATCAATCAATCAATCAATCAAATCAAGATCCTAGGATCTTCATTTGTAGGATTGATTGATTGATTGATTGTTTGTTTGATTGATTGCTTCGCGCGCGCGCTCACACACACACACACACACACAAGAAAAAAAACAAAAAGTAAAAAATAAAAATAAAAAATAAAAAATCAATCAATCAATCAACCAATCAATCAGTCAATCAATCAAATCAAGATCCTAGGATCTTGATTGGTTCAAGATCCAAGGATCTTGATTTAAATAATTGATTGATTGATTGATTGATTGTTGCGCGCACACACACACACACACACACACACACACACACACACACACACACACACACACACACACACTCTTTATTTCTCTCTCTCTCTCTCTCTCTCTCTCTCTCTCTCTCTCTCTCTCTCTCTCTCTCTCTCTCTCTCTCTCTCTCT